CTTAGACGTGAGAGGTAGTGTAATGGATAATGGTTAGATTTCTTAATTGGGAAAGATATGAATCAACATCTTTGCTTTGTTTTACGACATAACAACCTCAATGGGTTAATACCGATAATTTTTATTGCTGGTTATCTTTTCTCTTAAAAAAATCTATTGCTGGTCATATTTTTTTCAATAATTTATAGCAGATAATATTTTTTTTTCAAAAATGCATATCTGGTTTGGTTTGGTTTGTTTTACGGCATATCAACTTCAATGGGTTATTTAATGCCGACCAAGACTTTTACTGCTGGTAATTTTTTTTCAAAAGTATTTCTGGTATTAAAACATATTTTTACACTTTCATAGTGTTTTGACCTCAGTTTAGGGTTTAACTATTTACCCATAGCTGGGACCCTAACAGGGTGTACCTGGGAACACCAGCAATTAAGAGTTGGAGCTCCTCAAATCCTACTGTTTAGAAGCCTTGCTGTCTTACCCAGGACGCGGATGTAATTTATTGTCATACCCAGGACCTTCTTCTTCTGTAATTCCAGTCTTTAAGAACTCAAGCAAACCGTCTGATCCAACTAACTAATAGCCTTCAGCCACTTTTCAGCGAAGTCCTAGACGTTGTAATCAACTCTGAATTGGTTAAGCATATCACCGGGTATTCTTTCAGGTAATCAATATGGCTTACACTTTTCTAGATTAATTGATGATGTATTAAAGATTATTGCTAAAAGAGTATATCAAGCTTTAGATAAGACTATCGCGTTAGATATCTCGAAGGTATGTGACGGTGTTTGGCAGGAAGAAATGTTATGATATTTCTGGACGAATTTTTGAACTCAGTCTTTCTTATCAAATTGTGAAATGAATGTTGTCTTGAACGGCCACTCTTCTAGATCTTTTTTGCATGAATGCAGGTGTCCCCCAGGGTCGTATTCCCGATGTCATCAGTTCTCAACTCGGTATCTATGCTGATGACATAATGATTTACTCCTCTCTCGACAGTAAATCTGATTGCTTCGATAAAGTCAAATTGGCAGCTGATCTAAAAAGAAAATAGCCGTCAATCTTTTGTTAACTGGGGCAAATAATGGCTTAACGCTTTTCGCTGTCATAAAGCAGAAAGATTATATTGAATCTGCTGCTAGGAAAACAGTTCACGGTGTCGTGTTAGAGATTTTTTTTCGCCAGAATCTGTCTTACACATTTATAAGTCTAGCTACCATTCTTCTATGCATTGAATATTGATGCCACATCTGCTAACTATTTAGCTATTCAAGATAAAATCGAAAGAAGAATCTGTAATTTTATTCGACCTGACCTAGCATCTCGGCTTGAGTCATCCCCCCCACAACCGTCATAATGCAGCTCCCCTTTTTCTGTATCTTTTCTATAAATATTTTCATGATAATTGTTCTGATAAACTTCCCTTTTTTGAGGTATTATGGCGGCTGTAGTAAGAATGGCAAGTGGGAATGTTGGGGGGGTGTAAGGAATACTGTGTGATGTCTTGGTCAGTAATTATGGCTAGCTAAGTTTAAGATAAAACACATTGAAGACCAGCCTACCCCTCTCCCCACCTTTTGTCCTTGTGCCATATTTTCGTATTATTAAAAATAAATATTACTTTCCTCTATAGTACCTTGACATTACGACTTTAAGTGGAATACTTCACAGCTTTAGTGTGTGATATTTAATAAGAAAAGAAAAGAAAATCATAAATAAAAGGAAAAGAAAATAAATGACTTCGGCTAGATTATACACCCAAACAATATATTTTAAAAACAAATTTTTTATTTAAATTCAAAATTTCAGCATCTTCACGCGCATGTGTAATCACATCAACGAAAACATGTCTTTAAACTGATGAAGTCCTAAATGATGAAACGCGTCATACGAAAAAATTTTTTTCCAGTTTGACATAGATTTCCTAAAACGCACTAACACACACACACATATATATATATATATATATATATATATATATATATATATATATATATATATATATATATATATATATATATATATATATATATATATATATATCAAACACTAATATTGCATGGTTATAATTTATTACATTCGAATCGTAATCACGATCCAATTCATAAGATCTACAAATTCAAAATTTTTTTTGAATTTGTAGGTCTGATGAAATGGATCGTGATTAATAAATTACAATTAGTGTTTGAGCTTTTTATATTATATTCTTACTCTGTCCTGGACATTGAGTCTACCTGGATTCTATCCTCTTAGAAATTTATTTATATTAATATATATATATATATATATATATATATATATATATATATATATATATATATATATATATATATATATATATATATATATATATATATATATATTATTGATGATATATACATATATATATATATTTTATATATATATATATATATATATATATATATATATATATATATATATATATATATATATATATATATATATATCTAGCGTCGTTTCTATTAATGGAAGCATACCTGGAACTCGTCTTTGGGGATACCGAGAAGCTGCCTCGTCGGATTCTCTTGGATTTCCTCGACGTCTTTAAATCTTGTTCCTTTCAAGTGGGATTTGATTTTGAAAGAAGAAACAGTCCCAAGAGACGAGATCTGGGGAATATGGTGATTGTCGGACATGGGGAATATTGGGCTTTGCCAAAAACTTCCGCACAAGTCATATTCACTGATGGAGCCCCTGTGGTGCGGTGAAACGACCCCACTCTAAACACTTTCCTCCGAAACACGGCTATAAACAACGGAATGGAGCGACAGTGTTATAACTTATTGTACATATACTACTGTGTTCAATGTCAATCTGTTCCCAGCGGCTTCACTCTGCCAACTTTAGCTGCGTTAACATAACAATAGTTCCAACACTTTTTGATCAGACCCTATATATATCTGCGGATTTTCGTATATGAACCTTCCAACAAATTGTATATTTATAAATGTAAATAGGGTTTTAGATTTGATAGGAATATGATTAGGACTCTTATATATATATATATATATATATATATATATATATATATAAAAAGAAGGCATTTATATATTTCATGACCCATGCAATATTACAAAACATTCCATAATCACCTGAAGCTTTGTACTGACATATACGCAAATGCGTACTTTATCAAACTCAAACACGCGCAAGACGATATATATATATATATATATATATATATATATATATATATATATATATATATATATATGCATGTCCAGATACATGTTGTTGTATATTTATGGACAAACATATTCGCTATTCCATGTATATGTATGTAGAAGCAAGATGGCGCGGGTGCAAGTGTCGTGTGTCTGTCCACGCAGGTATTCGGCGGCCGCTTCGAGATGATATTGAAGAATAATTATAAAAATGGAAAAGCATTTTGTGTCTGTCATTTCCACTTCGAGAGAAAAATTTGATGAGTGGCATCAATTGGTGAGCTTTTTCCCTATGTTAGATAGGCTGATATACAGAGACGAATATGGAAAGAAGGTGACACGACAAACCGGGGCTCGTTTCAAGTAGATTAGATCGAGAGAGGAGCATTTGTATATGAACCAACCGTGAGAGACGAATAGAAAGATATATATATATATACGAACAGATAGGAAAGGAGTGATACATATGAACAGATCGAGATAGATAGATAGATAGATAGATATGAATAAACTGAGATAGATAGATAGATAGATAGATAGATAGATAGATAGATAGATAGATATGAATAAACTGGGATAGATAGATAGATAGATAGATAGATAGATAGATAGATAGATAAATATGAATAAACTGGGATAGATAGATAGATAGATAGATAGATAGATAGATAGATAGATAGATAGTGCAATGGAAACGCAATATTCTTATCGTTCTCTCTCACTCTCAGTAACCCTTTGCATCTTAGTGGCATTATCGCCTTGTTTAGGAGGAAATTCATAATAAAAAAGAGTGGGTAACAAAAATACATTACCGTAGGTAATACCGAAACATAGCAACGGTTTATAGACTTTTTCTTATCATGCAAAAATGGAGGAGAAAGATGCGTCCAGAGACGAAAAACAGATAAAATATTATACTTTTTTTTTTAAAAGACAATTGTCTTGGCTTATTTTTATTTTTAGTTGTTGTGTATATTTTGTATATATTTTTATATTTTTTAGTCGTTGTATATATCTTTTATATTTTCTATATTTTTAGTCGTTGTCTATATTTTTTTATATTTTTTAGTCGTTGTGGGTATGTTTTTAATTATTTTATACTTTTCATATTTTTTAGTCTTTGTGTATATTTTTTTCATATTTTTTTTATATTTTTTAGTCGTTGTTTATATTTTTCCTCTGATGAGAATGGGCCGATAAACTGTCTTTTTAAACCGTCGTTATTTTCGGTATTTTTTAAAATCATTTCACCCAAGGCGAGGCAATAAAGCCACTAAGACGCAAAGGTTCAAAAGAATATGAGAAAACCAAAAACAATTAAGAAGAGGGAGCAATGAAAGAAGAGAGAAGATGACCATTGACATTATGTTTGTTTTTTTAATCATTTCACCCAAAACAAGTCAATAAAGCCATTAAAACGCAAGGGTTTAGTGAATGTGTGAGAATATGAGAAAGATTCTTAAGGAGAGAGATCAATAAAAGAAGAGAAATTAAGGAGACAGAGGATAACGACTGAACTTGCATTTAAATCTTTGAACATCAAACTCGACTGGAAAGCCAAAAAGTCAAACTATAAAATAATGTCACCTTGCCACCAATCTTGTACTGCGCTTAAATTCCTAAAGTGTAATTAATTATATTAAATATTATTAGAAAATATTACCATATTTACAGTAATATCTTTTCTTTACACGCAGTCTTGTTTTTATCCTTTTTTTATGAATGACTTTAATTTGTGCTGTAAATTGTCTTTTAATATATCCGGTTTTGTCCCACTAATAAATAGACAGACAGATAGATAGATAGATAGATAGA